GCGCGCGGCGGCGGCCGCAGCGGCGGCGGCGATGGCGTGGGACGGTGGCGACGGCGGGGACGGCGGCTGGGGAGTGCAGCGTCTGCACGATTACGAGCATCTGGAGGGAGACGGGGAAGAAGATGGGATCTATGGTGGACCGCCCTCGCCCCCGCCGCCGCCGCCGCAGCCGCCGGGCGCCGCCGCGGCCGAGCGCCACTGGGAGGGTGTCCGGCGGTTTGTGCGCGCCAACGTGGCCCACTGGCAGGCGCACAGCCGCTCCGCCGAGCGGTTCAAGGAGGTGCCCCACTCCCTTGGATGGTGGGTGACACGTGAACACCAGGTTACGCATGACCGCCGGGTGATGCACAACCACCGGGTTACGCGGGACCACTGCAAGCTCGCAGGGGGCACTCTGCGTGTGAGCTCACGCGCGAGCACCACAGTTTCCGTCCGTCGCCAGTACTGCGCACGTGCCCGCTCCACGTGCCCCGGGTGCCGCTCTGGTTCAACACAGCTGAGTACCTCTCCCCAATATCCCCCCTCCCGACGGCGTCGCGGCTGGCGTAACCAGGGCTGACGTCATCAGGTTGGGTGACGTTTATGTGAAAGCGAGCCCGGGGGGCGGCGGCGCTGTGTACCTGTCAAAGTGCTCTGAGCTGGGCCTGACGCCGGTGTCGCAGGTGAGGGCCGCCCACGCGGCGTCCGGGTGCAGGGTGCGGATGGAGGGACGCGTGCGCACAAGCCCCGTTGGCGCGCTTGCGCCCAGCGGGTTTGAAGGCAGAGCGTGTGTGGTGTCACTTCTGCTTGTGCTTTGAGCAATTGGGACCCGGGAGGGGCCTGGTTACCACGCGTGGCACCTTCGTCAAACTATCAGAAGCACACTGATGATAGTCACTCCACGCCACCAGAGCCGTCACCGGCCCCCATACACTCACACGCACACGCGTGCGCTGCGCCCTTCTCTCAATTCGCAGGTGCTGCAGCAGCTGACGTCGCCGGCTGGCGCGATGGCGCACTGCGCTTTGGGGCGCCAAGGCGCCGCAGCGCTGGGCGCCGCGCTCGCGGCCAACACTGTGTTGGCATCCCTGGACTTGCGGGACAACGGGCTCGACTCCCAGGTGGGCTAACCTATGCGCGCCCACAGCCTGGGGCTGCCGGCACACTGCACTGCACTGGCGGGCGCGTTGGGTTTGCGGAGCTGCCTGCTGTCTCAGCAAGCAAACGGACCTTGCGTGCCGGAGCACACTTCACCTGGCCGGCGCACGGCAAGGTCCTGCTTATGATGTGGACTACCGCTTATCTGGTGCGGCGCCCTCTGGACGCTTGCAGATGCACGTGCCTGTGCTGACCGGCAGGCATGGGTCACACCTGACACTGCGCGTTTCACTCCCGCCAGGCGTTGGCGGATGTGCTCCGCGGCCTGCGCACTGCGACTGGCGCCGGCCTTACGGTGAGGCAGCGGCAGCGGCATCATGACATGGCGCAGGACAGCATGCGGCTCATAGCCGACAGGTGGGCGGGTGGCGCAATGGGCCAGCCTCTGCTGCTGGTGCTGCTGCTGCTGCTGCTGCTGCTGCTGCTGCTGCTGCTGCTGCTGCTGCTGCTGCTGCTGCTACTGCCGCTGCTGTTGTCGTTGCTCGCTCCTTATGTGCGTGTGTGTGCGTGTGTGTGTGTGTGTGTGTGTGTGTGTGTGTGTGTGTGGGTGTGTGTGCTGATTTGCTTAGTCGGTATTCAACAGCTCCAAAAGAACGTATCATCCTAAACGATCACCCCTGTGCCCTCCTTCCACGTCTACCCATCCTCATCGCCCTCAGGGCTTTGCTCGAGGGCTGCGGGGCGTCGCCCACGGAGCCAGCCATCCTCACGGCGCACCGCCCCCTGCACAACGGCCACTTTGGCCACGCCGGCTCAAGCAGCATGGGCTCCGCCGCCGGCAGCAGCGGCGGCAACGGGGCAGCCGCGCACCGCAGCGCCCTCATGCGCCGCGGCGGCGTCACGTTTGCTGCGGGCACGGGGGCCCACCAGGGGGCAGGCCCCTGGGACGGCTCATTCCCTGACAGCGGCCGCGGCGACGCCAACTCGCCCCACGACGAGGCGGGCGCCGCCGCAGCTGCGGCGGCGGCCGCAGCTGCGGCGGCCGCGCAGGCCGCGGGGGACGCTTTGGTGTCACGGTCGCCGTCCACGCGCCGGCGGCAGGGCGGCGCGAGCCAGCCGCCTTCCAGGGGAACCAGCGCCGCCGGCGGCGGCGCGGCGGCGGCGCGCCACCAGCGACAGCAGGGGGACGGCGACGAGCGCTTGGCCTCCCTCCCCGGCCGCCGCCGCAGCCTGAGCGGCACCGGCGCGGCGGGTTCATTCTCCTCGCGGCCCCGCAGCGGGGCGGGCGCGGCGACGCCGAGGACGCCGGGGGCGAGGATTTACTCATCGCTGTCGAAGCTGGACTTGAGCAACAACCCCCTGGGGCTGGCGGGCGCCAAGCTCGTCGCAGACGTGGGTTCATCAGACGGCCTGCGGAGCGGGGGTCGATTTCAGGGTTTGGGAAGTCTGCTGCTGGTGCTGCTGCTGCTGGTGCTGCTGCTGCTGGTGCTGGTGCTGCTGCTCTATTTGGGGGGTTGGTTGCGTGTTAATCCCTGCGATGCGGGCCCCTGCGTGGGAGCGCATTCGCGCGCACGCACGCCTCGTCTTAGTTTGGGCGCGCCTTTACCGCTCTTGGATGCGGCAATAAACAAAAACACAAAACCTCGACCATTGCACACCGCGGCCTTTACCCTGCAGCTGCTGCACCCCAGCAAGACGCCCGGCCAGTTCCTGGAGCGCCTGTCCCTGGCGCGCTGCGGCATCCCCGAGGGGGGCGGCAAGGAGATAGCGGTGGCGCTGAGGGCCGGCAACACGCGGCTGAGGGTCCTGGCGATGCCCAACAACTCCCTGGGTGGGGGCGGCGGCGAGGCGGCTGTGTTGGCGCGGGAGCGGAAACTATGGCCAGGTTTCGGGACCGCGAATGCATGTCACGCAGCAAGCCCTGCCTTTGCGCGCCATCGGTGGAGTGCCAGCCTCCGCCTGCGCCGCCAAGCATAACCTTGCACGCGCTGCATTGCGCATATCGCTGCCCGCAGGCAACGCGTCTGCGGCCGCGTTTGGTGAGCTGCTTGAGTCGAGTCACACCTTGAGGGAGCTGGACCTCGCGTGGAACCAGGCGAGTGGCGCCGCTCGCCGCACACTGTGCTGGCTGGCAGGCACACAGGCACGCAGGCACGCAGGCTCGCTTGCTGATGAGTTTGCCGGAATGCCCCAATCTACTGCAACCTGCACTCGTCGTAGATTGCAATTATTGACCACATGCCCCCTCCACAAAGCCCCCGCCAGCAGCCACATGCATGCTGGATCATTCACCTCCTGGCCGGCGTTCCGCGCACCTTGCAACAAAGCTACGCCGTGCCCCACCCCTCAGATCCGCGCCGACGGCGCCCGAGCGATGGCCCGCGGCCTGGCGGCGAACGCTACCCTGGCCCGCCTTGACCTTTCGTGGAACGGCCTGGAGTCCGAGGGAGGCGGTGCGCGAAGATGGATCGCATGCACGTGCATGCTCCAGCATGCATGCATACATGCATGCATGCATGCACTCCGGCTTAACCGTAGCTTGTAGCGACCGCACGCGGCGGTGTCCTCGCTGTCATCTGTGGGGACGCCGGCAGACTTGGTTCAATCCCTGGAGCGTCCACTCCGGCCGCTATGTGGGTGTCTCGAGCGCACTCACGCACCCGGCCACCACCACCCACAACCTCAGGCCCCCTGGGTGAGGTGCTGGCGCTCAACATGGGCCTCAGGTACCTGGATATGGGCCACTGCAGGATAGGACCAGAGGCGTGCCTGCTCATCGCCGCGGGCCTCAAGGTGCGGGCAGCCTTGTCTCAAAATCTTCAGCCATCCGCGCCTGACGCCACCGGGAGGGGGCTCGGCCGGCAGCGGCGCCGCGGGTCGGGCCACGCGGCGCGGCAGTCGTCTTGGCTCGGTCTCCAAAAGCCCATTCGCCTTACTCAGCAGGGCCGGCATGCGTTGCACGATAACAGTTGATAATCAAGCCGTCACCCATGCCTTAGCTGTGCCGCCTCAGCTTCCGCACGCACGCGCGCCGCCGCCGCATTACCCACCTCCTCTCCCTCCCCCCTTCCCTGCCGTTTCCCCCGCGCCCCGCGGCATCTCAGTCAAACGTTGTTCTTGAGGTGCTCCTGCTGAACGGCAACCCTGTGGGCGAGGACGGCGCCCGCCATCTGATGGCCGCGCTGGGCGCCAACGAGACGCTGCAGTTCCTCGCGCTCCAGGGCTCCAACCTCTCATGTGGGCAAGCGGCAGTCGCCCGCGTGCATGGGGGCTATGAACTTAATCGCCTGGATCCAAGGGGCTGATACGTTTCTGTTAGGATACACACTGCTCCAAGGCGACAGCCGAATCAGCCGATTCAGCTCAGTACATGTTACGCGTACTGAGGCCACGGCGCCTGCAATCCGAACCGCGGGGACTGAGCGATGCCGCTCCGACCGCCTGCCGGCCCTACCCCGCCCCGCCCGCCTGCAGCCGGCGCGCGCGACCCCCAGGGCGGCGCCGGATTCAACCCCGCGGCGCCCGACGGCGAGTACCGCCTTGACCTGTCCAACGCCTGCGAGCGCGCGGTGGCGACGGCGCTGGCCGACATGGACAGGGCGGCCGCGGCGGACCTGATGAAAGGGATCACGCTGGACGGGAAGGTGCGGGTCGAGGGTGTGTAATGCTGCCGTGGGCTGCGGCGCGGCGGCTGCTGCTGTGGGCGCGGCCGTGGGCGTGTCGGGTAGCTGGTCGGGGCGCCGGCGGGTGGAGGCTGCTGCTTTGTGGCGCGGCTCTTCCCGTGAGGCGGCGGGGATGCAAGGCGGTGTTGACAATGGTCCCGCAGGGCAGCCGTGCTGCTAACAGTGCAGCAGGGAGCAAGCAAAAGCTGTGCGTTCGCAAATGCCCTGCCCGTCCCTTTGACGCCAGAGCGTTGCGAGCTGCAAGAAGGCCAACTGGCCGGCGCAGCTGCCCGTTAGGGGCACCCTGGAGTTTGAGTTCTCTTCCAAAAAAGCCCAGAGGGGCTGGGCGGTCATGGACAGCCGGAAGTGAGCTTTGTGTTTGGCTGGTGCATGCCGTCGGCTGCCTTGGAGACGCTGGTGCATCTGTCAGTGTGAAGGACCTCGGGGGTAGAGTCGTCATTGGCGGCAGATTTTGATGGGATGGGCAAGGGCGTTTGCGGTATCGTGCTCGCGAGCAAGTGCTTCACCAGAGCACTGGCCAATTCCTTCAATCCGGGCGGCCTGCGTAGTGTTGGGCAGCGCCCTCCGCCCGCTGACGCCTTCAACCTGCAATCCGGGGGTCGCGCTGCTCTGCAGGTTTGAGTCGCTGCGGCGCCAGTTTTCGGCCCAGAGCATCAGCGACCGCGAGAGGCTGGGGCTGGTGACGACCGTGGCGCCCTTCTCAATACTGTCGTGTGCCCAGGTGCGATGAGCCCAGCTAATGGGCCCAGGGAAAGTCACTTGGAAAGAACCTGATCGTACCTGCGCCCCTTCCGTATTCCTGAACGCCAATCCTTCTCCCAGTGACCTTCTGCAAGCAGCGGCGCCCGCCAGTATCGGGTGCAATCCCGGAAGCTGCTCCCACACCCCATCTCAGCCAGCGACCTGTCAGACCGCCAAAGCTCTTTGCAACACCATCAAACATTGTGCTCCAGAATTCCTCAACAAGCCGCAGCCGCAGCCGCATAACAACAGTCCCTCACCCGTTCAACACCACTCCTTCTGCAGATCTCCAGCCTGCTGGCCACCTTTGGCGTCGGCCCGGACCGCGTCGCCGCCGCCGCCATCCTTTGTACGCGCGCGGACGACGCGGAGCATGATGACCGCCTCGAGGGCATAGAGGAGGCGCTGGGCGAGCGCGACGCGGCCGCGTGGCGGCGGGCGCTGGGGTGGTTTGCGGGCGCCACGCTTTCGCACCCGACGGGTTAGTGGGGGACCGGGCTGGGGGCCCTGATTTGTGTTTTGCGTCCGGGCGATGTGCGCCTTTTTGTGTGTGTGTGTGTGTGTGTGTGTGTGTGGTGTGTGTGTGAGTGTGTTGTGTGTGTCTGTGTGTGTGTTCATGTGTGGCCTAGGTTGCATTCTTTGCGTGGGGTGGCAATTCAGGACCCTCGGTCATCAGCCAGCCCTCCGATGTTGTTGAGGCAGCTTGAATGGAAGCGCGCGTCGGCTGGCCAGCGGCGAGACTGCCCGTGGCTCGCAAACAGCCACCCCTTATGCTCCCTGGCTGCGCTCCGCTGATCATCTTTCGTGCGCCTGCTGCAGCCGCATCCTGGCACCTCCGTTTTGATCCCCCTACCCTCCATCGACCCAAGCCTCCCCCCTCTGCAAGCTCCCCTCCACAGTGCCAGCTTTTGCGTGACCGGCCCTGCCCCTGCTCCTCTCCTCGCTCCTGCTGGCGGCAACCCCCACCAACCCCGGCAGGCCACTACGAGCTGGACCTGTCGCTGCCCATCCACCGCTTTGTGGCGGCGCGGCTCAAGGACCAGGCGCTGTCGGAGCCCGAGGGGCCCAGCTGGATCAACCTGGTGCACGACGCCTACTC